TGCGCAGCAGATGTAAATCCACAGCTGTCCCAGCTGAACTGTGTTCCCTCCCTCCAGGTTCAGGAAGTTGGTGACAGAGTTTGAACCAGAGGTCCATGAGGTGTCACGCCTGTTCTGTTCAATGTTGTGGAACTGCCTGGATGAGGAAGAGGAGGGGGACCTCAGCAGATGAAGGTGTGGGTGAGCCTCAGGCAGAAACAGCGCAGCAAGAGCCTCTGCTTCGACACCTTCTGCTCCAAGCTCCGCCTCAACCCCTTCAGGGGTGGGGCCGGCAGGGCGTCCGGCAGCAGCATGGCCAAGGAGGGGGTGTGGTCTGAAGAGGAGGAGGAAGAGGGGTTTGTAGGGCTAGTGGGAGGGGTGGGGAGGGGGAGAAGCAATAGCATGCCAGACAATGATCAAGTGGCACAGAGCTGAATGAATACAGGGGGGCAGGAGGGCAGTTTAGAAGAACAGATGACATACTGAGGATACAGAAAGGAAGAAAGTGACAGATTTATATGTTCATTTATCAAAATGAAGCCATTTTCTGTTACGGCCCCTGTGCATCCATGGCACCACCCCTGGGCCAGTAACCGTGCTGTATACACGCTGCATGAACACGTCGGGCCACACCTCTACATTTTTTTTGTCCTAAAAATAGCATGGGCTTCATGAATGTACAAATCCAAAACATGAGTAAAACGGAGCACACATTTTCAACACAGTGGGAAAACATGGCCATGAGCGTCATGCAGTTTAATGCTGGGGAGAGCATAAGCCATGCTAAGTTGTACTTTAAACAGAGGAACTTTGCAAGCAAATTGTAAATTGGATAATAAAAGATGACCTGTAATATTGGCGTGTTACATCTTCCATTCTTGCTTTCCATTGTAGGCTGTATATGTGCATCATTATTATACATTTATATATATTTATTATATATTAATCCTGCTAATATTCAAGCGTACGAATGTGTGAGAATTGATGTGTGTCTGTTATGCAACTTCAAATATGTATAACTAATCATGACATTATATTACAACCTATATAATAACTGCAGGACTTTTGGAACTAACTGTAGGAATATTAAATACATGGTTACAGCTAGGCATGGGCGATATTGGGGGGGCATTTGTCCCCCCTAAACTGTTCGTCAACTCACTTTAATTATGTAATGTTGACATTTGTTAAAACTATATTAGTGCTTCCCACACATACACTTGGGCGGGCCGCCCAGGTATATTAACGGCCGCCAAAGTATATTTGGCGACCCATTTTAGCATTTTTTATTTTTATTTTTTTATCCGTCCGAGAGAACGACCCCATCCGGTGGATATTTTACAAGCACGGACCAGATAAAGCAACTCCTTTTCTTCTTACCTAGTTTTCTAGGTTCATTTCCGCAATGGTAAAACATAGCCAGTGTGTTGCCATTAAGGCATCTATTTATTTTCTTTGCTTCAAATTTCTACTTCAAAAAATGTGTATAATAATAATAAGTTGTTGGTAATTATTTCTTATGGAATATAAGAAGTTGATAACCGCCTTGCAGTGTGTGGGTTTCCGCTGGTTGTACAATCACTTCCGCGTTCTACTTATTACTGCTCGGTTGTTTCCGGTTCAACTCGGCGACGTTCTACACCCGCTGTCTACAAAGGGCTACCAAAGTTGAACATCACCGATGTTCATCGGATTTGCAGGACGACTAAAGCCCCAACCAGCAAATTAGACAAAGGATTTAAATTATATGCTGCGTCTTATATATACACAGCTACGAAGATAAGAAAACAACTACTAACTAACTAATGCTAGCTAACGTCAAATGCTAGCTTTCGTTGTACAAGTTCGCTAACATTAACTATGTTAGCAGTGTACCTGTCAAAACAGAAAGACATAGGGACTGTATAGCTAATGTGCACACTTCAGTATTTGTTTATTTATCGCAAGTCATATCGTCATCGCAATAGATTTTCCTCATATTGTGCAGGCCTATTCCTAAAGGCCCACCAGCTTGAATGTTTTCCGTGTCTCCCTGTTTTATCACACCTAATTTGATTGGTCACATAATTTGATCAAGTTAATAAGGATAAGATGGAAACGTGCTTGTTTGGGTGATTTACATTAATTTACAAATTTACATTAAGGTAACACTGCTAATATACACCATCTAAGGCATTATAGTTATCAAGGAAGGTTAATCAAGTTTGTTTTATTAGGGAGAGAAGGTAACGCTAAGTATTCAGGAGGGTAGGCTTCTTCTAGGAACATGGTTCAATAATAACACACCGTTCTTATAATAACCTACTAGCTCTTTTCCATGAAGCAGAGGTTATATTTCTAATTTCGACCATCAAGGGTAGGCTCTATGAGCTGATCAAGTGTCTGCTGCAGACCTTAGTGTGAGAGGAGATGGTGAAATTATCCCTGCGTATGTTTACCGGCCATTGTCTTCTCAGGTCGGGATGGGTCGGAGAGCCATGGAAACTTAGTATGCCGTTAAATTTGGATGATGCCGAACAAAGCGGGACACAGCTAGGGGTTCAATGGATCACAAAACTCACGGTTCGGATCGTATCACGATTTTTGTGTCACGGATCGGATCATTTTTCGTATCAGCAAAAAAGGGGAGACAAATATAACTTTGCTTTACATTTATTACTTAAAGAACTTAATATATACATTTTACACTTGATCGTTGGACTAGCTAACTTTAGTTTCAGCTAACTTGAATAGATGAATCTGGGTGCTAGTTCTTTCACTAAATTAGCTAGTGATGCATACAAATGTTCGAATAAATTTGCAAACATAAAACCATATCCGGAAAATTATTAACTTATTGTATGACTGTGAATAGGCCCTAGTGAGTGAGTGAACGAGCGAGCGATTTCGGACGCAGCCTTCGTCTTCGCAACGCTTCTGCTAAGTAAGGTTGCTAGTTTTTAAAATTGCGCTTGTATCTTTTCACTGCAACTCTGCACCGAGATTCAGGAAATTATTACTTTAAAAAGTAACAGCGGCAGTAAAACTGTGTTTCACACCATTATGGGTAAACTTTGCAATTAATCCAAGGTTCACATACGTGCCGACCCGTGGGCGGGGATCCGTACAGATCACCGACTAACTATGGTCCGTTTCAACGGTTACACCACTAGACACAGCAAGAGTATTTCTTCTCCTGTTTTTGAAAATGTTCCGTCTTGAACATTTTCTAGCGTACACTCATTGTGAAATAGCCTAAACATTAACGCTATCAAGAGCTCTCTAGCTGGCTCCAAGCAAACAAACAGACCGGAAATAACCGAGCAGTATTATTTTGAATCGGAAGTACGTCACAAAGCCTAGTGCATGTAGCGCATTATATTCGTTGCCTGCTCGTGTCGTCTGATGACGTCACTTGCTGGTCGGTCGCTTGCGGTTAAACTTTCTGGTTCGGCAGAATATGTGAGATAGGCCTACGTGAGGCATAATTGAAACATAAACTACTTTGAAGCATCTTAAAGGCAATGCCGTAAGTTTAGTTATCTGACATGTCTGAATATATATTAGTAACGATTTAGTTAAGAACGATGTAGTAGCGATTTGTTTGTTATAAATATGTTAATGGAATGTTGGTAGCCACTGCTACGGTACAAAACGGCAATGTATACATTCGTTTTACAGCTATGTACAGTAGTGTTTTAGTTAAGGACACAGACACTGAATATTTTTGTATTGTTTTTATTTACAGTTTTCACCGTATGCCGCATGTATGAGGAAATGTCAAGTAAATGATCAATCTTACTTCGACTCTCTCTTCACTGGCAACGGTTTAACTCGGTGTTTAGTCAGTTTCAACACACTGCACGAGAACACTACAGCCAGAGAATTAAATAGACGGGCTCTGACGTAGCCTAACTGTCGTATTAAAGGCAATTACTAGTGTGCCCCCCCCCATTAGATGTCGCTCTCTCATGTAACTTTTAACGTTTAACGACCTGCGAACGCATAGAGGAAAACCTGTCACATCAATTTTTTTACTGTGATGCAACCTCTCAGTGTTCACCATGGCTAACCCTACGGTCACACGGACGACACAGGAGAGACAAAGCGACCGGCTGCCATTCATTTTCAATGAGAGTTGGCTATTTACAGCGACAAGAGACAAGTGGCCGTTGCAAAGCCAACTAGGTGGGGCTAAAATAGACTAGAGGTCTATTTTATGCAAATACTGAGCGATGCGACACGGCGACTATCAATGGGAGTGAAGGCAGCGTGAGGCCGGGGCCACACCAGTTGCGTCGCGTGTGCGTGACGGTCGCGGAACGTCCTGATTTTCATTTCCGCGCCTATGGAAAGCCGTTTTAACATTTAATAGCTAGCCTGGATATGTATGACAAATATCCGTAATTCAATTATTCCTAGGCAAAATGAACATTTCAGATAGGCACAACGACATTCTTCCTATCCACAATTGTCATTTCAGACAACCACAACATCATTCTTCCTAGCACAAATGACGCCACTTTTGCCATTCATTTGTATTGGGCTTTCAATTTCAGATGTCCACAACGTCATTCTTCCTATCCAGAATGAACATTCTGGATGTCTGCAATAGAATTCTTACTAGGAAAAACTCCCATTTCAGATATCTACAATCCAATTGTTACTAGTAGGGAGAGGATCCGTACGGATCACGGATCAACTACGGTCCGTTACACCAGTTATGACCACACAGCCGTGAGCAGCGCGACTCAGGCGCGACTGCAGCGCTGCGTCATCTAGAGCAGGGGTCTCCAACCGTTTTTCATCTGAGACCCACTCATGTCTTATATTACTCACACTTATTCACATAACGTATTAAAACACTCACATGAACCAGCTGAATTAAGCTATTTTTTGTATATAAATATCAAATGTGCAAAGCTCACATTTTGGATCAGAAGTATCTTAAATTCACATCAATAGCATGTCAAATGTACATTCTGTGTCTATATATTTCAGATTTTAATGTGTCAGGCTTACTTAGCGAAGGGCAAGAGCAGTCACCCTAACGGGCCTTGAACCCGGGTCTACAGGATACCAAACTGCAGCTTTGACCGCGACGCCAAAGAGCAAGGCTTGTTAATATGGCAGTCAGCACGCATAGCCTACTCAACCGCAGTGACAGCACTCTGTCACACACAATATATCAAAACATCTTAATTTCACATCAAAGCCATAGAAAACATTACTACGTGTTTATGACGTGAGATGTCAAATTTGGTGATCATTGGCCGCTATTTTGGAACATTAAACCACATTAAGCCTTTTCCTTATAATGGGCATCAGTATAGAGGGAAATGAGATAATGTCCATACTCATAGGATTTCGGTTTTGATTTTTGACAGGTTAAAGTGTTTATGACAAGACATGTCCGAGAGAAATTTGGTGATCATTGATCGCTGTTTTGGAACATTAAGCCACGTTAAGCCTTTTCACGTTAAGAGTTTTAGAATGTCCCTGAAGTGGCGCTGAACGTTCCATCTTTTACCGATGAGACGCCGGTACCGCAGATGAGGCACACACACTTGTCCTTCACATTCGTGGGGAAAAAAACTCGCGTTCCCATTCCTCATGGAAATCGCATGTTTTTTATTTTATTTTTTGGCCTGGCCACTTTTTTGTTCATCATAAATCTGGCTCTTTTATAAGATAAACTGGCTTGCTAACACCACCGAACTCCTTGCTTTAGCTCAGTAGCTACCTCACAAGCTAGCCTACAGGGTAACTGACGTGACGACGTGTTGGCAAACTTGGCAGTAGCCTAATTTATTTGATTGACAGCTGACATCATTTTGTGTTGGAGGGGGGTGGGACATCTGTGTATTTGGTTGGATTGAAATGGGAAGAGGTTTCCAGGGTGCATTTATTTGTTGTCGGATTTTTTTGTACATAATCTTTGAACCTTTTGGCGAGCTACCGGTAGCTCGCAAGCGACGTGTTGGAGACCCCGGATCTAGAGATTCGGCGTGGCCCCTGTTTTTTCCGCGTGCCGCGCGCGGTCCTCAGCAAAAATACAGTGAAAATGGTCTGTTGATAGTCATATTGGCATCATACTAGCAACATTACACCTTTCACTACAGTTTCAATGTCTGTATCTGTAGAATGTCACAGACATGAAAAATATTTATATTTAATCCCGTAAATAGAGTAAATGATTATGCTCGCGTATACAGCGCAGATTGTCTGTTGTATGCTTGCGAATGCTACAGCATGAGATTGTTTAAATAACAAGGATGGCAATTTGAATAATTAAATGGCAAGTAATCCCAAAGCTTTCTCTTAAATGTTCCACATTACAGCTTTCGTGTGTTACAACATTCAAATTACAAAATGGAGCTAAATTTAGTTAAATTGATTAGAATAGGTTGAGTGCAATGAACTATAACGTTTAGAACACAGACTTCACAAAAAAAACTGATGTGTCATGAGCGCATTTAAATCGCATTTGACGCAATTTAAATCGATAAATGCCATCTTTGTTAATTAACCAATCTCACGTTGTAGCTTTCGCAAACACACAAACTACAGACAGTCTGCGCTGTTTCGCGAGCATAATCATTTACGCGATTGGTGTCGATTATTCTGTGAATTATTTGTTTTATTGTTAATCAAGGAGGATAAAGGGGAACAGGCTGAAAGTAGTCCTAATGATAGAAACGGGAAGCCCGAACACTACCTTTAAATCTATCTCACCAGCCGCCACTGCACCTTTCACTAGTTTTAATGTCTATATCTGTAGAATATGTCATACACATGAAAAAAAAAAAATTAAACTCAACACTTCCTGTATCTGTTTCAAATTCTGTCTAAACTAAATATATAAATGAAATTTATAGTGAAGTTAAATCAAACATTCTATTATTGATGGCGATTATCAACGGCAAACTCAATGGAGAAAGATAGGGCTGACAGTAGCAGCAACGCTGGCGCTGAGGACAAACACACGCATGCGGGCCGCAGCAGTTCAGCGACGCACACGCGACGCAACTGGTGTGGCCTCGGCCTGACACACGTTGCGGAAACAAATGATCTAACATTTTGGTTCCAGTCAAACATGGAGGAGAGGCTTATGGTGGCAGTGTCGGGTTTCCCCATACTCTACAATTTGTCTCTTGATACGTACAGAGATATAAATTTTTTAAAAAATGCGTGGAGAAGGGTGTCCCAAATTGTGGAGACGCCTAGTATACATATTCATATATATGTGCACTGCAGTAACAGCTTTTTAGCTTTAACTTTAATGCAGTGCACAACCACTACCTAGCTACCTAACAAGCTAGCTAGCTAAACTGAACAGCAACACTCATCTCCCAAAAAAGGTTCACAGTACATATTTTGTTGCATTTACAGTTCATTTTTTAATATTCACTTCTCAAAACATTTGCAATTTATACAATAAAAGCATTGGGCTAGAAAGACAGAAAAAGGAGTTTATGATAAAAAAGTGTCAGACACGCCATCCTGTAAGGTTTACACCATTCTCTTCTTCACATTAGTTCTTCAAAGAGGGAGAGGTAGAGACAATGGTGGAAAGAGCGGCAGAGAGGGACCAAGCCAGAGTGTGAGTGACAGCTGGCATGGTGGGACTGACAGCATGGCTAGAGGAAACACAGGACAGAGGCTCTCAGCTCCACTCCCACCTTCCGCTTTGCGCTCATAAAGCAGGCGACTTGAAACAATTTTTCAAGGCATGTGGGGAATCGGAGTTTGCAAAAAACATGCAGGTGTGACCAAAAACGAGGACATGGGGCCACATAGACCCCCAACAAAGCATCCTATTTGGCATTGAACCCCACCCCCACACTTCATTGAGGAAAAAGACATTTTCTTTTCACTGTTATCCAGACATGAAGTACCCCCATCTTTTTAGATCACCTGACCAATAAGTCTAACATTCAGTCATTCCACTAAATGGGAATTTTTTATATATTTACACCTCTCTTATGGTGAATTTGGCAATCCAAGTCATGGGGCACAAAAAATTCAAATTCAATCTTCAGTCAAACACTATCTTGCACGTGTGTTGTCAAGAGGAGAAATACTTAAGAATGTGACCCAATCTAGGACACAAGAATTTTAATTCTTCTACAATTATTGCCCAAAACTATTAGTATCACTGGGCATGTGTCATAGAGGCCACACACTTTCTTTCCTGTCTTTAAATTTCTGGCAGGAGTTACTGTAAGAGCAGTTAGAATGCAACTGTTACAGAGGAAGAATAGAGAAGACTAGAAAAGCTTCAAGCTGCGAAAAAGGAAGAATCAGCTTTTTTTGCCCTTGAGCAGGAGTGAGGTCATAGGTTATTATCTGGCATGATGGGTAAAATAAATAACTAAAAACTCTGCTGTCACACAGGCAGAAGAACCACCAGCAAACATGATCCCCATTCTGTCTGTCTCCCAAAATGATTTGAGTTCCCTGCATAGGGTGTCAGATCACTTTAACCAGATCAGGAAAATTAGCTGATCAGCAGGTGTGCCACCAATCTCTTGGAATGCACACAACTGGCCCCAGAGGATTCACGGTGAAGACCCAAGGCAGCAGAGTTGAAGCAGGGATTTGAACATGAAACCCTAAAATGGAGTGTCACAAGATGCAAATACTTGCAAATGTGTGTGCACATACCCCTGAGGTCACAGAATGGAGAAAGTACTTGTACACACAAAGCATCTTATTCAGGTAGCCACTCATTAAGGGCAAAGTCAGGTACCATGCCAGAATCACCTTTTCTCTCTCCTCCTCCTCTTCCACTCTCTCCACAGTCTCACTTTCTTTGACAAAGCAGGGATGTTTCTTAATACAAAAAGAGATCAAATAAAAATCATCTGTATTAACCATCTTGTCAACAGATTCAATCACGCCTGGGTTGTTTCTCCAGTCTTTTCTCTGATAAAACCGACCTGTTTACAAACTTAGTTTAAAAAATGATATTCTCAGAGCAGCTGTCAGTAAAGTAAAACAGTTTTTTTGAATTTTTACCTCAAGACCAAACGATGCCCACAAACAGACCTTCCTTTCACTCAAGTCAGATGGAGGATGGGAATCAGCTGGAAAGTCCTTAAAAAGACACTGCTGAGTTTGCATTGTCGTGGACAGATAATGCTATTGATGGAGGTGCACCTCCTCAACAGATGAACAAGATAAGCCAGTAGTCATTGTGAGCTCACATGACTACTCTGGTCTGTGCCAGCTTCCACTGTGTCTCTGGTGGAGGGGCTGGAGGGGCTAATCGATTAAGGTAAAAAACAAATTAAAAAGGGATCAAGCAGGAATTATCTCCAACACTCATGCCACAAAGTTCATATTGATTGTAATCACTTGTGACAAATCTGGTCATGAAGAACTGGGAAGGACTGGGAGACTGCAAGGCTTGGCAAACTGCTCTGCTGATGACTTTTTAAAAGAAGAAGTCAAAAGACGACATTTTCACGCCCTGTGTTCCACTCTCCAACCAGACCTTGATGTTTTGTTTGGTTTCAGAAAAACATTCACTTTGCAGAAAAGCTTTTTTATCCAAAGCCAGCATGAAATGTGGTCCCTGTCACAGTGTCATATACAGAGCTTTGCATGAGTGTAAATCTGGGACAAGGCCAAACTAAATGACCATAATGGTGGAAAAGTCATCAAAATAGGACTTCCTTAATTTCTCCAGAGAAAAGATTTCAATAAGGCCTCTCTGCAGCTCTCCTAAAAACACACCCCGCAGCAGAGAGACAACCTTGAAGAACAGCAGGCAAAGAACTGAACTGGCAGTTTTGACATTTGATAACCTCTAATTACGGATGTTTGACAGCTGTGATCACTGCTGTCGCTCCAATTTTCAGTAATAATGTATGCGTCTAAGAAAACTACTACACTGTATCAAATGACTTCAAATGTGAGAATTTCACTTCCTTTCCAGCATGTCATTAATGGCATACAAGGGCTTGTAAAATCAGTGGTAACAACAACAAGCAGACTCAGGCTGGCGCTATGCAACTTGTGTCCCCAAAATAGTTACTTATGCAACCTTTGCCTGTAACACACACACACATGCACAAACACACTCATACGCACACACATGCACAAACAC